CCAATGGCATTGCCGTGCCCATCGGTGCTTCCGCGTCGCAGAATTCAACCTTTAACGCCTTCGCTGGCGTCGCCAACGCGCCATCGCCGCATGAACCTACCGTATGCATCTAGTGCCGGTTCGTTGGGTTTCCTTTGCCGCTGTGCGCACCCTCACATTTGGGAGGGGGAGACCGTCCCTGGGTGGCCAGGACGCGTGGCAACACTTGGGTCCCTGTCGACCCAGAGTGCAGCAAGCGTGAAATCACGTGGGCCCCTTGCGCTCCAGAGCTCAGTGAACGGGAAAACACGTGGATCCTTTTCGCCCCAGACCGGAACAAGTGGGACAACACCTGGGTCCCTGTCGCCCAAGAGCGGGACAGGCGTGAAAACAAGTGGGTGCCTTTCGCCCCAGAGCGCAGCAAGCGTGAAGTCACGTGGGCCCCTTCTCGCCCCAGAGCACAGCAAGCGTGAAAACACGGCGAAAGAGACCCATGTTTGAGCAGGGACCGACCGCCCCGGCATCCTTATAGGCCTACCACGAATTGTTCTTAGAACCCCCAAAAAAACATGATCGACCCACGAACCCGGAAAGGAATATAGAACTGTAACATATGGCAGCGTTTTCAAAGACACCTGATTGGGTGACGGGCAAATGCAATGCTGAGTGTATCGATCTTGATGTACCCTGCCGAGGGCTGTGCTGTGCTGCGCCGTGCTGAATTGCGATGTGCCATGGCGCAACTATGCTCTATAGCGTCGTGGATCGAGTCCTCCTTTGCATCCGAGTCCTGACCGAACTGATCTGGATCTTAAGCTCGAGCTGCCTGAACACATAGTAGCTGCCCCAAGAGCTAATGGACAGGGGAACATGCCAGGAGGACGCGCCGCGAAACGTCCCAAGGGATGCGCCAGGCGACGTGCCAGGGGACGCGCCATGGGGTCGCACCGTAGGACGTGCCAAAGGGACGCGCTACGGAACGTGCCAATGGATGTGCCACGGAATGTGCCAGGGGACGCGCCACGCGACGTGCCAGGGGGACTCGCCAAGGGACGCCCCACGGAACGTGCCAAAGAACGTGCCAAGTTGTAATGCTGAGTGTATCGATCTTGATGTACCCTGCCGAGGGCTGTGCTGTGCTGCGCCGTGCTGAACTACGATGTGCCGGTTGTGCTCTATAGCGTCGTGGATCGAGTCCTCCTTTGCATCCGAGTCCTGACCGAACTGATCTGGAAGCTGCCTGAACACATAGTAGCTGCCCCAGAGCTGATGGACAAGGGGAACATGCCAGGAGGACGCGCCGCGAAACGTCCCAAGGGATGCGCCAGGCGACGTGCCAGGGGACGTGCCATGAGGTCGCACCGCGGGACGTGCCAAGGGGACGCGCTACTGAACGTGCTGGGGACAAGCGTTTCGCTCGAGACATCCTATCAAAATCATCCGAATTCCTACGCGCGGGACGCGGCACGCGCGAGACATCCTCGGAATTCCTGCGAGCGGGACACGAAAACAAGCATTGCGCCTGAGACATCCTCTGAATTCTGGCCCCCCACGAGGCCCCCGCTCGAGACATCCCCCAATTTTGCAAAACCAGCGTTTCGCTCGAGACATCCTCAACAAATTATGAAAAACATGCCAGGAGGACGCGCCGCGAAACGTCCCCAGGGACGCGCCAGGCGACGTGCCAAGGGACGTGCCATGGGGTCGCACCGTAGGCCGTGCCAAGGGGACGCGCTACGGGACATCCTCAAAATTCCTGCGCGCGGGACGTGGCACGCGCGAGACATCTTCCGAATTCCTGCGAGCGGGACGTGAAAACAAGCATTTCGCCTGAGACATCCTCTGAATTCTGGCCCCCCACGAGGCCCCCGCTCGAGACATCCCCAAGTTTGCAGAAACCAGCGTTTCGCTCGAGACATCCTCAACAAATTATGAAAAACAAGCGTTTCGCTCGAGACATCCGGTCAAAATTCTAAGAAATCCTGACAAAACAAACGAATTAGTCGAGACATCCTCGAAATTCCTGCGCGCGGGACGCGGCCCGCGCGAGACATCCTTGGAATTCCCGCGAGCGGGACACGAAAACAAGCATTTCGCCTGAGACATCCTCTGAATTCTGGCCCCCCGCTCGAGACATCTCCAAATTTTGCGGAAACCAGCGTTTCGCTCGAGACATCCTCCACAAACTATGTAAAATAAGCGTTTCGCTCGAGACATCCTGCCAAAGTTCTAAGAAATCCTGACAAAACAAGCGAATTAGTCGAGACATCCTCGAAATTCCTGCGCGCGGGACGCGGCACGCGCGAGACATCCTCGGAATTCCTGCGCGCAAATTATGAAAAACAAGCGTTTCGCTCGAGACATCCGGTCAAAATTCTAAGAAATCCTGACAAAACAAACGAATTAGTCGAGACATCCTCGAAATTCCTGCGCGCGGGACGCGGCCCGCGCGAGACATCCTTGGAATTCCCGCGAGCGGGACACGAAAACAAGCATTTCGCCTGAGACATCCTCTGAATTCTGGCCCCCCGCTCGAGACATCTCCAAATTTTGCGGAAACCAGCGTTTCGCTCGAGACATCCTCCACAAACTATGTAAAATAAGCGTTTCGCTCGAGACATCCTGCCAAAGTTCTAAGAAATCCTGACAAAACAAGCGAATTAGTCGAGACATCCTCGAAATTCCTGCGCGCGGGACGCGGCACGCGCGAGACATCCTCGGAATTCCTGCGCGCGGGGCGCTTTTCCGAGTCGCGGTCGGGGCTCCAGACCCCGTTATTTTTCGAGGATTCTGCGAAAAACGCTCCGCACCCTCTTTTTTACGAGGGAAAGCGGGGGTCTGCGGACCCCGTTATTTATCGAGGATCCGAGATGGGGGGCGAACTTTCCTCGAGCGGGCACGCACAAAACGCACTTTTTCCAAAAAAATCAGCACTTTACCTCGTTATTTATCGCAAATAATTTCGCCGGCGCTTGACCCGTCAGAACCGGGGGTAAACAGCTAAAAGAGAACCCTGGGCCCAAGCCCTTTCCGGGAATTAAGAGCAAAAACAGTGTTCTTAGAACACAAGCCCGATGTGTTAACACACAGCAATATCGTCCAGACATGTTCTAAGAACATTTCGTAGAAACCAACAGAAAATTGTTTGGTGGGCCTATAGGCACGCCAGGACGCTTCGCCACTGCTTGACATGTGTTTTCACGCTTGGTCCGCCCTGAAGCGAGAAGGACTGGGGCGCAATGGACGGCCTCTCGACTTCTCCAAAACGAGATTTTCGCTCGCGACATCCAACACATTCTGCAAAACAAGCGTTTCGCTCGAGACATCCGCAACAAACGAAAACGTGCACATAACCATGTGTTTTACCGATCGGAATTTCCCAAAGCAGCGTTTCGCTCGGGATATCCTCATTTTTTCACTTCGCCGACCCTGCGCGCGTTGTCATTTATCGCAAAATGAATTCGCCGGCCCTGCGTCAGTCGAGGCCCTTGGTTCACCAGCGAAAAGAGAACACTGGCCCTATGCCAATGCCCTTTCCGGGAACCAATCGTTCTCCACGAATGAAACAATGAAATCATCGCTCCATGTGTCACTCTGTCTGTGTCGTTCTGGTCGGCCTGGACTTTGAATCCAGCACGGCATGCCATCGATGTCTTTTACAAATCCGTGTCTTCATTTGCTGTGGAGGGCGAAGGAGGGAGCTCTTCGGGCTCCCCCTGAGGCCCTCTGCGGTGTGGGTGGGTGGGTTGGGGGTGGGCACTCTTTAGAAGGAGGTATGGCAAGGAAGGGAGAAACGAGATGGGTAGAGGAAGACTCACATCTGGCATACACCAATTCAATCGAGTTCTCGAAGGTCCGCGGGGATTCCATACATCTGCGCTGGACCCCCTCTCCCCGGCGCGCGAAGCGCGCCAGGGGGGGCGCCGGAGGCGTCGCCAGGAGGTGCCCAGCGCAGACCGTTTGTGCTTCTGCGCGGGCCT